GGAAAAATTAACTGTATAAAAATTGGATAAACATGAATAATCAAAAAAGATTTAGAAGACTATCTATGATTAGAAATTAGCATTTATCTTAGTAATACCATTTTCATGTTAGTTTATAAAACTAGGCTGATTTAGTTCCTATATAGATATATGCATATTATAACTTATTTTCCATGAGAGTCTAGTAATATTTCAAACATTTTTCTATGTTTACTCTTTCAATTCTTATCAAATTGATAATACATAATTGTACTTGTTTACTAATTGATATATATATATATATATATACTTACTTTCATGAAAATTGCATCTCCTTTTGGAATCTTTATAAACATATCTCTATATATATATACTTACTTTCATGAAAATTGCATCTCCTTTTGGAATCTCTATAAACATATCTCCCGCTTCATGCTTAACACCTATGAACAGTTTAAAGAAAATTATGACCCGTACGTTTATAACTGTCTCACATAGTATTAAAATAAAAATTACAAGCAGGACTCATACCGAGATAAGGAGGAGCATGGGCTAAAACCGGATCTAGATCAAAATTAATACCCATTATATGAGGGTACTTGGAAGTGATGAGACCTAGTGTGTTACCAAGTCCTCCCCCTACATCCACCAAAGTCTTCACATCTTTGAATCCTTCATAAAGTTCTAGAAACTTCTCCATAACCATGAGGGAAGATTCCGACATAGCCTGGCTAAACATTTTACGATATGGTTCATCCGCCTGCAAGTATTCGAATAGTTTGATGCCATGAGCAGAGCTGAATGCATCACTTCCGTCTAGTATTACATCCTTTAGCTGTCTCCTGTTGTATAAAAATGTCTAATTAATCTTTTGATTGTACCGGCTTATATAAATGACAACCATGAAATATAACTAATTGAGTAAAAATGAATGAAATTGGTTACAAAGGGAATATATTTATTCCTATTCTTTTTTGTTTTGTTAACATATTTATTCCTATTCAAAATTGTAAAAAATAGTGAAATGGTCATAGCTGGTTAAATGAAATTTAAGATTTATAAACTATAGTTTCGTCACTTTGTGTGTATTTTCAGAGAAAAATAGAGTACCAAGTCTTGATGTTGACGTCGCTAAGGTTCAACATGATCAAAGATGCGAATGAACCTGAGCCGCCAACGTTGCTCAAGAGAAACTTACAGACCGGTTCGGCTGCATATACGCTCCCCATTTGTCCGGCTTGACCGTTCTCCTCTATAGCAACAGTTCGATATTTTAGGACGGAATAGCTAGCGAGTAAACGTAGCATCCGGTCTAGCAAAACCGGAGCCTGGGGATTACTCGGTTTGTTTGGGAGTCTTAGTGCTATCTCAGAAGGTGAGAGCCATAAACCGACGCCAGCAGTGGCGATGGTGTCGATGACACCGAGCTCCAAGGCGGCCTTGAGAACCATGGGGAAGGCGGCTGCATTTGAGAGCTTCCTCGCTAGCAATCTGGCCTCTTCCTCAACTTGTTTTTCTTCTTTCGTTTGACCCGGTTTAGGTATAGGGTTAATGATTGAGCGTTCTCCACAACGGTTTTCCATTGTTCTTGGTTGAAGGAAGTGATGCAAACTCCTTCCAGACTTTGTGCCATTTTATAGCGTGAAATCTCAAAGACATTTGGTTAGGGGTGTTTGATCAAAAAAAAAAAATTTGTTAGGGGTGACACAAAATATAGATGTCCAGCCAACTTTATGTCCTTCCTTTGTTCTTCAGCTGTATATGTCTGTCTATATTCTGATTTTTATGGTAATTTATAAGTAAAAGTAGCCATGTAGGCGAGAACATGTGTTTGTTCAATTAGCCTTTATTAGGGTGGTATTAAATTAAGTACGTTATTAAGTGTTAAAGAAAAAAATAAGTACGTTATTAACGAAACATCAATTTATACAGAGACGGTGTGGGTATGTGTCACATTCAATTGTACCCAGTACTGGTGCATAACTTTTTGAACCGGGGGGCATATATAAGTATAGATGTATTATATATTTTTATCTATAAAATTTATATTTTTTTCCTTATATACCCTGTATATAGCATAAACATCAAAATTTTAGTTTAGAATAATATTAGAATTTTTTTTAGTTTTAGAGTTATCAAATATATACTCTTCATAGAAATTTATCTAATTTAGAATTTTAAAATATTTCATTGTCTACTATCTTGTTTTAACAGTAAAATTATCTCATAAAGTATAAGTTTTAATAAGTGGTATGATATTTAAAATTATGTTTTGGTACAATGAGTTTGATAAATTATTTGAAAATCAAGAAATTGAAAAATAATATTGATAAATTGGGGAAACTAATTGATAGCTGAAAAATAATTTCATGGGACACACATAAAAAAGATAAAATTGTTATGAACCAATTAGTGGATGAACATAATCATATTATCTAAACCCAATCCGTGTAGTCTATATGGCGGTTTAGACTTAGCATTTTCCATATTGTATTAGCTTTTTACTTTCCATTTATCTCTCATGTAATTTCCTATATAAGGGATCATATGTTATGAGTAATATATACACCAATTCCTCTATTTTTTTCATTAGTTTACAACACGTTATCAACACGAGTTGTTCTCTAACCATAAGCTAAAAAACCGTCCAGAAAACCCTAGCTACTCACCGGCGATAACATCAGCTGTCATCGGCTCTTTCCTTTTCTCGGCGAACCCTAGACCCGAGAAACCCTAGTTCGCGATTCTTTCCTTTTTTACGGAAAAAACCCTAGCACCACGGAAACCTTAGTTCGCGATCCTCCATCAAATCCGACCAGCCGCCTTCTTCGACGATCAGTTCTCCGAGACCCGATCTCTGCAAGGTTTTAGCTCGCGAACCCGTCTGCTAGTCCTCCGCGTATCCGATCCCGACTTCAAGGTTCCAGCACGCACCGGCTCTCATCTAATCCGTCTCTTGGTGGTCCGCTCAACCCGAGGCTCAAGGTAATTGCTATACCTCATGATCTAACCGAACCTAAAGAAATCAAACCCTAAAACACTAAATCACATATTAATTTTGATTAATGACATTGATTGATTGTCTTTGAAAGTTAGGTTGATAGATTATTTGATTCATATGACATATTGAATCTGAAACCCTAAATCTTGAATTTAAATCCCTAAAGGTCTTGAAACCTTAAATCGCATATTGCTAAATTCGAATGCTAGTTTCTCTAAATTGTTTTACGGGTCGTACACTAGGTTTATTATTTGTCATGAATGAAACCCTAATCTGAAAAACTAAACCCTAAAGTGCATATTGTTAGTCTAGCTAAGATAAACCCTAATCTATTGAATCCGCATGATAGTATAAAGCACTTGTTCATTAAGATTGATTGCATTATATATCTCCATGGCCGTGTGGCCTTATACATATAGAAATTAAATGCTAAGGTGTTTTCATCACATTCATACGACTTGTATGCATCATCAGCATATAGTAATTATTTTATTAGGTTGATAGAACATCATATATGGCCGCATGTTTTGATTGATCCGTATAACTGGTTATAAAATAGTCACATGATCCTTGCATATACTTATTAGTACCCAATTGCTAGGATTGATGCATCATATCCATATTGAACATATAGACCGTATGTATTGTGATAGTTCATTAGGATTGCTTGCATCATACCACCTTTGCCGCGTGACTTATTTTGATAAAGCATTCGTATGACTTGATTGTTTGCTTGGCCACATGCAAATTATTTTATGAAACCTAAAATAAAATAAGAAAAATTGATTGATATATGATTTCAGATGTTGGAAATTTGCAATCTGGATTATGGTGCTTTAAATCTCTTTGAAAATAACTATTTGCAATGGGCACTAGATACTAAAATCAACCTGTTGTCAAAAGGACTCAATGAGACTATCATCGAGGATAACAATGAGAATGATATAAATAGATACAAGGCAATAAGTATTATCCGCCATCATCTTGCTGAGTGTCTAAAAGATCAGTATCCCACTATTGAAAATCCTCTAGACCTTTGGACCGCTTTACAGCGGAGATATGATCACCAGAAAACGGTGTTACTACCAAAGGCTAGATATGAATGGAGGAATCTCAGATTCCTGGACTACAAGTCCGTGGATGAGTACAACTCAGTTTTACTTAAAATCGTCTCAAAGATGAGACTTTGTAGTGAAGAGGTAACTGAGAAGGAGTTACTAGAAAATAACTTCTCCAAATTCCATTCAAGCAATGTGTTGTTGCAATAGCAATTCAGAGAAAGATGCTTCACCACCTATACTGATCTGATCTCATGCTTATTACTGGCTGAGACTAATAATGAGTTGCTCATGATGAACAATGAGATGAGACTTCCTAGCTAAAACCCATTACCTGAAGCCAATAAGGCTATAAAAGAAAAGAAAAATTCTAAAGAAAGTAACCACGTCCAGAGTGATAAACCGCACAGTCATAGCCGTGGTGGATGGAGAGGACGTGGTGGGCGTGGACACTATAGCTCACATGGCCGTGGGAACCACTATAAACGTGGTTGTGGACCCAATTTTGGCCATGGTCGAGGCAGAGGACGTGGTAGTATCTCTAAACCACCACACTTGCTCAAATCAGTGTGCCACAGGTGTGGAATGGACAACCATTGGGCTAAGAATTGTAGGAGTCCCAGACATCTTTGTGACCTCGACCAAGAGAGCCAGAAAGGGAAGAATCCAGAAGCCCATTTTGTCCACCATGATGGGGAAAACGACTTTGTTCATGAGTAGGATGACCTTATGGATTATGAGACTTCAAATTGCTTAAGAAAATGAATTTCGACATTCTATGTGTTTTTGTTTGATGTGGTGTTTGCTTTGTTTGCTGTTTACGCTTTCTTTATAACAATATGATTTTTTTGAGTTTATTTTATTGCTATTATCTTGTCTGATTTTTGCTTGATAATATGAATGATTTTCATTATTAAAGAACGTCAATCTTATATATTAAAACAGAAGTCATGAACTTGATTCATGTGTGATATTTCATTTTGAACTATTTACTAAAGTTTCATTACATTTAATTGTATCATTAATGTTATTACCACCTTATACCCCACATTATAAACAACCATTAGAAAATGTACCGTGTTTAGTCAAATACACAAAAAATCGTGTATTCTGTTTTAGTCTATACAAAATAATCTAAGATCACTATTTAAATTTCTATGACTATTAGACCAAAAAAATGTATGACTATAAACGAACACACTTCATATTTTGCACAACGTCAGTTGTTCTTAGATTAACCTTTGGCATGTTTCTTCTATGTACTGTCCGGTTCATATTTATACCATGATGTGCCTCAATTTATTAATCATTGATGTGCCTCAATTTATTAATCATTGATGTGCAGTAATTTCTTCCAAATGCTAGATTCATATTTCTTTTAAAATGGATTGTTCTAAAGTGAGAAGAAAGATTAACAATGAAAAGCATTTTAAGTTGTAATTAGTGTTAGACATGAACATTGCTATTTTTGTAAAAAAAATTATTATGTTATAAACCAAACACATTAAACATGTGGAGAAGATGAAGAAGGTGAATACTAAAATCGGATATAAAATTGATATATCTATATATAGAAGATATAAAAAATACAAACGCATATATATATTTATCATAATTTATTAGTCACAAAATACGGGTAAATTCATGTAACTAAAAGAAATTATATCTTACATTTAAAAGTCAACTAGAGCTTGACCCGCACATCTGTGAAGATGTTTTTTTTTTTTATAAATTGTTTAACGACACTTATAAACATATAAGTTTTTGATTCATTTTTAGGTTCCCACACATTAAAATCGAATCCACCCAAACCTATAAAAACCTTACTCGGACTTTGCCTAAAAGTTTATAATGTTCGAGCAAAGTCTAATTTTAAAGTCAAAAACATTCGATATCCTAGAAAACCATTCCGTGTCTGAACGAATACGTGAATGCCATACCTAAATGATTATATAAACAATAAAAAGTTTTTCATTCGAAAATTTGGAATTATTATGGTTAACATATAAAATGAACAATTATTATTGTAAAACACTTAATAAAGTAGTTAAAAATGTGAAAATATAAAAGATATAAAATACAATTTAAATAGGTAATTTTTATTTTTTAAATTGTATAATATATGCTGTAAAATTATTTTGTAAAGAGTAATTAATTAAGTATTTAATATGAGTAAAACTAAAGAAATAAAAGATGTCATATTTAAAAAAAAAATTTACTCTACCTAATAGTATAAATGTTTGAATTAAATGGTGTAAATCTATGTTTTAACAATATACCTTCAAATCTAATATACTAAAAACGTATATCAATATTATTTGGTTAATATTCAATAGTTTAGTTTGTGTTACAAAAAATAAAATAAAAATCAATAGTTTCGTTTACATATTTATAAATAAATAATACTAAGTGTTTAAATACTAATGTATATGAATATGAAATCATTTCATTAAAATAAAACTATGTTACTAAAATTTAAAATTATTTATTTTTATTATCTATAATCTGTAACTATTCAACATTT